AGTTGACACTGCTTCGAGAACTCTGTTAGATCTATTGAAGGCTTGGCAATATTGGTAGAGACCACAATACAAAAGATACAAGCAGGTAGAAACAACCGTTAAGAAGAAGCCATCGCATCGCAGCTGAACAAATGTGGTGCAGCTTCAATGCCATAAACGATCAGGTATTCAACTGTGCGAAGCATCTGGTCAATTGACTAGCTATATTTATTGATAGCCGAAAGAAGCAATGAAGGCAGAAACAGATCAGACATTGAAGATCGAAAACGCCAAACTTCGTAAGATTTAAAAGAAACGGATAAGAGAAGACGTCCGAGCATTCAACCGCAGAATGGCAAAAGAAACTATTGAAAACTACGGTAGCATGAAGAAATCAAATGGCAAACTGACAGTTGAGAAGCGATAAATTTTAGCCCTCAAAACAGAAGAAAGAACTCTCACCACGGATAGACCAAAACCTCTAAAGAGAGGAAGATTTTTGCTGAACTGCACAAAGAGTAAAACAGCTACCCTTGGTGAAGATAAAATCCTGAAGACGTTAACGAAGTTGATACAGTTCTATATACATTACCAGAAGAAGTTCGACATGTAGTAAGATAGGGGAAGTGAGGAAGGGCTCAGGGAGAAGAAGACATTACAATGGAACTCGTGGAAACAGGAGTGGAAGAACTGACCACAATATTAGCACGCTTGTTTTAATGCTGTCATAAGAAAGTGAAACCTCAAGACAACTGTACTAACGCATCAGTGACTTTACAGAAAAGGAGAGAGATGATTTGGAAGACCTACAGACCCATCACTTTGTTACTAATCACTTATAAAATATTCAGGTACTGATGAATAGACTTTAAGGAAACTGTACTCGACACAGAAGAATTCAGAAGTGGATTTGCTACGATGAATCATCTGCAGGTGGTACAACAGGAAATTTGATAAGCAACAAATATCAACTTCCTTCCTGTCTGGGATTCGTTGATTTCGGGAAGGATTTTGACCCACTCTAGAACCTTTCTGCATTGGACTTCTTGAGGATCTAGAAAATCGAGAAACGGTACATTAACCTGATCGCTATGATTTGCAAAAATCCAACTGATAATGAGAAGCTTTACGAAAACATAAGTACGTCGAAAATGTAAACAGGCGCTTCACAGGGAGAAATAGTATCATCTAAGTTGTTCGCAGCAGCTGTAGAAAAGGTTTCCAAGACACTTCGTTGGGAAAATTAAATCTGAACATAAATTGACACTATTTAAGCAGTGCAACTGAATATCTGATAGCTTAATGCCGAGTGTCACATTCAGTGTAAATCCACAAAACAGAATCACACTATCTCCACCAACGACCAGAGAATTGGTAAAGAAAGCTGTACATGATTACTATTTGCATTAAATATGAAATATACCTGCAAATCAGCTGCGATGCCACTTTCGCAGCGATATAACTAATACTTCATAAGCTTGTGTCAGTGATATCCGTATATATTGGTTTAGTACAAATTTTTGACACTTCTGGAAGATGCCAGACGATAATTCGCAGAATGCGCAATTACTTTGAAATTTTAGTGAACCATTACTGTATTTATTAACGAAAAAACCAGATTCGTAGGCAAAGAAGTTCCTCTCGAGAGAAACAACAAATAAGTTTGTTGCAGTTGGCTGTGTAATTGTATGTTGTGTGGTCGTTTTGCTGTGTAGCGTTAATGTCGCTGTTAGGATTACCTCGTTCGTTCGCGTTCAAGGTCCATCAATGTGGATGGGGAAACTTGGTGACTCGCTTCCAAGGGACTATCGGTCATACTATTCGAGTAAAAAAGGAAATTGAGCGCAAGAAAGAGCAGTCGCAGCTGGGCGGCGGCGAGAAGCGAATCAAAGCACAGCATGAAAGGGTAGCTTTCTGTTATCATACTTCCGAGTTTTTGATGAAGACTATTTCATTAGGGAAAGCTAACCGCTCGCGAGCGCATCAATTTGTTGTTCGATCCGGATACTTTCGTTGAGTACGATGCATTCGCCGAGCATTCATGCAACGACTTCGGAATGGCCAGCAAAAAGGTATATTTGTTGTTCTGACTGTTATACTTTAAAGCATCGCAAAGACTGCAGCTGTTATATGAAGCTTGCTGTATTATATTCTTCTGATTAACTTGTTTTGGCCTTACTCTGGTTACTTCTCAGCTCTAGTAGTTGTGCAGAGAGCAAGTGAAAGTATGGCTTGATTAATCAGAGTTGCATTAGAATGGAAGGACTGAAGAGAAGAATTACTGTAGTATTAATGCAGTATGATAATTACACCTGTATTCAGCGTGATCCGGAAGAGCCTTGGAATACAGCCTTTGCTTCTCCAGATTGAGAAGTCACAGCTGCGATGGCTTGGG